CCCCCCCCGAGTTGTGGATATTTCCGAAATCGCGACACAAGCAAAAGATCGGATAACGATTTACTTGAAAACTATGTCCCCATGTACAATAATTTGACAGGGTATACAATTTACAAACTAGTTTCGTAAATTGGAGACAATTGTTTGGCTTTTCACAAGAATATAAAGTTGGCAATCATCATAATATTCACGTCCGTACATCACGGAATGTACACCAATCGTACCCCAATATGAAACTGTACATTCAATTTTGCTGAAACTGGAGAACTTAACTTTGCAAATTGCTTTCATCATTTCATCTGAACAGAAGTATTAAATAAACCAACATATCAACATAGATCTTCCAATACAGAAGAAATGATGAAAGCAATTTAAGTTTAAAAAATGGTAAAGCTGCAGGTTTCAATGCCATTTACGCCGAGATGTTAAAAGCAGATATAGTCACTGCCACAAACTCCCTTACCAAACTTTTTTCACTGTATTTGGACCAAAAATGAAATTCCGGATGATTGGCGTAAAGGGCTCATCGTAAAACTTCCAAAGAAGGGTGATTTGGCAAACTGTGACAATTGGTGGGGAATTACTCTCCTATCAATTCCAAGCAAAGTCTTCTGCAAAATCCTTCTCAATAGAATGGAAACAGCCATTGATGCAAAGCTCAGAGCAGAACAGGCCGGTTTCAGACGCGGAAAAGGGTGCATTGACCATATTTGTGCACTATGAAACATGGAACAATGTTTGGAATGGAATGCATCACTCTTTATAAATTTCATGGACTTTAAGAAGGCGTTCGATAGTGTACATCGAGCCTATGGAATTCACCCAAAACTCACCCAACCAATTTTATTTTTATTTCATTTGCGGCTCCTGTTCATTCGGCGGGTTCGCAAAACAAGGGATAATAAAAGTCTGGCCTAATGAGCATAGTTGCGACAAAGCCTTACAAATTCCAGATGGCTTACTAGCTCCCTGATGTTACACCGTAATAAGCCAGCACCAACGTGCATGTGTTTTGTAACCCCTTTCATCCCCTCCGGGGGATGTTATATATGTTAATAAATCAATGTTAAATACTTCCTGATTACCGAACTGTGCGGCATGTCGTCGGTAAATACTTGTTTATTGTAGTTCACAAGCAGACTGCAAAATACCATTTAAAACTGAACATTTCTATAAGGCATGCTGTGTACCCTTACATCACTTTTTACCTCCATGCATCGAACGACCATTGAGATTCGCGCTTTTCGACCAACCAACCAACGTGAATCGTGCTCTTCAAAGAGTGACACTGCGATCCTGTCGCAGAGTGCAATAATCGACATTCGGCGAGTCGCACAATCACGTCGCAGAGTTAGTTTTTAGACCCTCATACATACCTCCATATGCATATCATTTGCTATGTTTGGGTCAAATAATAGATCGAAGAATGAGGACGTGATTTTAACACTAGCCGAGTCAGTCCCAAGTGAGTCCCGACTAATGTGAACACAACTGCTATAATCCCTCTGCAAAAACAAAAGATTACAAATTTCAGCATGTGCCGTGATCTCTTAACGTGAACGTAGTAAATGTTATCAGAACAAACGTTTGAATTGTGCAAAACATTTAAATCGCTTATTAGATTATTACTACAAATGTATAGGGGAAAGATGTATAATAATGTTATCACATGAATAATTCTCATGAAAATAACATGTGACAAAAATCAAAAGACAGATATATTATTTTGCTTTTCCCTTGGATTCACAACAAATTACTGAAAAGTTAAAGATGGAGTTTAGAAGATCTCTGTTGTTTATGCATACTGTCTATCCACATACTGGACAACTTTGTATAGTCATGTTCTATTTTTAGTAAGGCATTATATAAAGATTCTCACCAGTTGCATTCAACCAAGCAATCATTCTTGCCATAGTTTGATTCTGATCTTCAAATTGTGGCACTGAAAGCATGCCACCACTTGACAACTGATGAGGCACAAAATTCCTGTAAGTCAGCATGAGTGGTGGTGATGGTGGAAGGGGTGTACGAGGCTTCACAAAAACAACCCGCACTGTTCGCACATAGCATGTGGTACCTTTACCATACTCAACAAAGAATGATCTCTGTGAATCAATTACAACTGGACCTGATGACAATTAAGAACCAAAATTACAATTTGCGAAGGTTAGAATGTCAGAGAAAAGTGCCACAGAAAAAAAATAAAATTAGTTATTTAATACAACTTTTCAGCTGAAAGTGAAGGAAAATAGGAATTAATATACAATACCTGAAAATGCATTTTTCTGCATCTTGACATCAACAGTCTGTGTGTTAACTATTCTTATACCTTGCTGTGCTTGAATCCATGCATTGGCTTTACCAATAACATTATGCAGTGGTTCCACATACTTGACCAGCCCCATCATAGCACTTAAACCACCTTTTGACATTTGTAATTCAGGTAAGAAGTCTGCAGTTCCTGTCATAGAAAGAACAGAATTTTTGGTATCTCCAAATAATAAAGTTGATAACAATTTAATATAATTGTTTTAAGTGCCAAAGTGATCCAAGGCCTGTGTGCAATGTACATGGCAGTAAATTACTTGTAAATGTGGTGTGAAATTAAAAATATGGAAATTATTTAATTGCTTAAAACATTGCCATCGGAAAGCCTCCTGTGATCATCATTTATTTTTGAGCTCTAATCCACACCAAAAGGTGTGCATGAGTGTTGAGAATGGGTTATGCACATGAAATTAAAATTACTATACTAGGGGGTTTCATTAACTTATCATTCCAAGATATTTATATAAGTACACTGTAATAAATTACTGCTTTGTGTACTTTCTATCTACTGCTGTTGTCATGAATGCAAAATCTTACAGCCTATTCAGTAATTAGCAAATAATAATACTGTATAACCTCTCCTTGGACATTGAGTACAATCATGTTATTGATTATAGGGGACACTGTGAGGTGATAGCCCTCACCCGTATCCATAGAAGTATCATTATAACATGGTTAATAAGAGTAAACCAATTCCATGCAACGAGAGAGAACACGTGCCTGACTGACAATGATCAAGTGACACAGGTCAACCTATCCTGTCAGAGTGGTTTACAATGCCATTGTACTACAATGTAAACACGTTTGACCGCTGGCTAGCTGCATGTTCTAGTGGAAATATTTTTGATAAAAATAATATCAAACAAGACACATCTACATGTATATGTTCACTCCTGTTAAGTACAGATAATGTTTTTATTTATCATAATATGCAGCCAACTTGTCTCCCAGCCCCACTACTTCCGATGACATATGCAGTTTTGATGCCACTACTCTAGAAACTGTACTTCAAGTAATCTAATGGGTGCATAACACTGATAGCCATCGGCAGGATTATAGTAATCTAAAGGGTGCATAATACTGTCATAGCCATTGGAGGATTATAATAATCTAAAGGTTGCATAATACTGTCATAGCCATCAGCAGGATTATAGTATCTAA